TCGATGGCACTTAACAACAATGCCTAGGATACAATCTTTATGCATCCAATTTAATTTTTGCCAGCTGCCAATTTTTCTAGATTCCTACATTCCACAGTCCAATTATTAATGGATATTTGTAGCTGTTTCTTTTCAGTTTGAGTTGTTTCCTATAAGCAGATGACGGTCCAGAAAGCTTTTCTCCATCCATGTCATTGAGATCAACTCTGCTTTGAGGAGGCAGCTCTTCTACAGTCACATCTGTGTCTTCCAACCTCAGGGTCTTATTTTCCGGCACGATATCTGGCAATATTCTACTGCTATTCAGAAGGTGTTCAGTGGCTAACTATTCAGAAGTGCTCGGCCTCTCCTTCCTTATCTTAGTCTAGAAGATCTGCTGAAACCTGTCCTCCATGGTTGACCCTGCAGATATTTAAAGTATTGGTGTCATAGCGCCCAGCATCACAGCAACATACAAGCCACCACTGTACAACAGACTGACTGATGAGTGGTGGCATCTAATACCTTACTGGAGTCCTGGTATGGCACTGTGGGTTAATGCGCCAGACTGCCAAGCCCTTTGAGCTGCAAGGTCAGCGGTTCAAGCACACCAGCTGCTCTTCAGAAACCCTATACAGAGTCACTATAGGTTGGGACCGACTTGACAGCACTTAACAACAATACCTTACTAGTATCTAAGTACCTGTTGGCTACATCACTTGCGATTTAGGAGGGCAGTGATCCTATTGTAAAACAAAAGCAATCCAGGCACTGCTCCATGAGTTAGGGGTTGAATTGTGTTCCCAAAATATGTGTTGCAAGTCCTAACCCATATCTCTATCAAAGGAGCCCGGGCACGACACTGTAGGATAAGCACTAGACTGCTAACCACAAGGTTGGTGGTTCATACCTACCAGCTGCTCCTTGGGAACCCTATATAGGGTTGCTATGAGACGAACCAACTCAATGGCACTTAACAACAACAGCTCTTATGAAAAGTCATCCTGGTGGCAGACCAATTAACTCCTAACTGAAAATTTGGCACTTAAAACCCGATTCAGTAGGTCCGCAGGTGAAACATCTGTTGAGTTGCTTCTGTAAAGACTATACACTGTAGATAGGTATATCCCTGCTGGTTAATGTACTGGACTACAAGGTCAGTTTGAAAGCAAGGTCGGCAGTTCAAGCTCACAAGTCGCTCTTTGGAAACCCTGTACAGGTTCGCTATGAGTCAGAACCGACTCGACGGGACTTCCAACAACAATGGGGTGGCTCAAATCTGTCATGCAGGGTCGCTATGGGTTGAATCAACTCAATAGCTTCTAAAACAACATTCCTGTGAATATACTCCCATTTATGAACACAGTTTTTCTTTGTTTCGTTAATGAGATCGACTCCATGTACAGTGAGCTAGAAACCAATCACTTTTACAATATAAAAGGATTTGATTACACACAGAAGCAAAGAAACACACATGGGAGTGGTTTTCATGCCACATCAGGATCACCCAGGAACTGAGGGACAGAGGTTGAAAAGAGGCAATGGCCTTTCCTAGAATTAACTGAGAAAGAAAGCCATATTCTTTTTCATATTTCTAGCCACCTACACCTGGTGTTGTGAAGTGCCACTGAATCAGTTCCAACCCATAACAACCCTGTATAGGGTTTCTGAGGAGCAGCTGGCAGGTTTGAACCACCTTCAAGGCCAAACCAGGACTCCAAACCTGGTGTTGTTTTTGTTTAAGTGCCATAGAGTTGATCTGACCCATAGTGACCCTGTATAGGGTTTCTGAGGAGTTGAACTGCTGACCTTATGTTTCATACC